TGGCCCAGTTCCAACCACTGTGTCTCATGAGTAGGGAGTCAAGTCCACACGGGACACATGGTCCCCTATTCGGGCCCATCGGCAAGTATGGGCCCYCTGAGCTGCCCAGCGACTCAAGGCCAGCTTCAGGCCCAACCGCCGCCCTCCCAACAGGCCTCGCAAGCTAGTGTGGCCGGGGGAGGGAGCCAAGGACAAGGCGGGCAAGGCAATGGGGGCCGGGGCCAAGGGGGTCGAGGAGGGGGTGGCCGGGGGCGAGGAGGAAGTGGTGGAGGCCGTGGGGGAGGGTGGAATGGTCAGGGGGGTCAGAGCCAAGGTGGCCAAGGCAGCCAGGAGGGGGGCCAAGGGTACGGGAGGCCCCGCTTCGATTGGCGAAATGAAACTTGTTGGCATTGTGGCGAGGTGGGCCACACCATACGGTTCTGCCAACAGCGGCGGGACGAAGAGCTGGCAGGACTGACCTCCTCTTGTATGGATGGGGACATATACGATAGGTGGGGGAAGCACATCGACCCCAAGACCCCAAGACCCCGGGAGGAATCAGGCAGGAGGCCCTCAGGCGAGCAGCGGCAGGGCCGCCAGCCGCCCCGACAATGTTCAGAATATGGCAAGAAAGGGAGGATCCGGGCGTGAGGGTCGAAGAGATCGTGGATGAAAATGAGGAAGTGACTCAACGACTGAAGGCGTGGACTATAAAGGAGGAGCCAATAGTCGTTGAGTCAGACGACGAAGGGTTAGAGGTGGCAAGAGAGTCAGCCTCGACCATCCTGGAAAGGATGGAGGACCTGCTTGCGAAGGTGGGCAGATACCAGGAACGGTTGAGGGTGATGTGTGAGGAGCCTCGGGAATGGGAAGCGAGCCTCCCCGAGGTAATCCTCTATGGGTCAGACCCGGAGTCGTCGTTAGAGCTGCAAGGATATCTGGGAGTGGCGACGGCCGGATCAGGGATGGTCTATAGACCCCCTACGTCGCATGGGAGGGTGGCGCAGGCCACGAAGACTAGGAGCCAGAGTAAGGCTACTACAAGCCGGAGACCTAATCGGGCGCCTAGCCAAGCCCCTCCTCAGGGGGAGCCGGAGCCTGAGCGGAGGAAGGAAGTGGTGGAGGTTCAAGAAAAAGGAGAGGAGGGCGACGACGAAGAGGATGAGAAGCTCCGCCAGGAGGAGGACCGGCGAGCCAAGCAGAGGGATAAGAAGAGAGGAATTTAGGGAGAGGCGGAGCCGGGCGTGCACGACGGCATGCCAAAAAGGAAGAAGTACGCAGTCTGGCTGGTGGAGGGCTTTGACGTGGAGCGAATGGTGGACAAGCTTCTAAAGGGTCACAATAATTTGATGAATCTGAAAGACATTTTGGCGTCGGCACCAAGGCTCCGTGATGAGCTAAAACGGCGGCTCTCACGAAGGTTAGTGCCCAATATCCACCTGAGCACGATTTTGCCAAGGGAGATAGAATGGACAGAGGCGGGCACCAGGATGGATTGGAAATGTGTGGCGTGTGGGTTGGTGGATCTGAAGGTGAGGGACCAGCCGAGCATCGCAATGGTGGACACGGGCGCTGAGATGAACATTATCCGGGAGCGAGATGCGACCAATGCGACCATGCTAGGGCTGGAGGTTGACCACTCGGATCATGGTGTGCTGCATGGCGCCAACTGTAAGGCATTTTTTTGCGGCACCGCGTCTAACGGGATGGTGGAAATTGGGAGGGTAAGGGCACGAACGTGCTTCTTCGTCATGCCCGTGTCGACCACCCTATCCGTCTGGGGAGGTCGTTCCTCTGCCGAACGGAGACCTTGGTCTTCAATAGGCATGAGGGGACGATGATCCTGGCCCTATCTGATCCGGCTTGCGGGAACTACGAGATCATCAAATGTCGGAACACAAGACCCGGAAGTGGGAGGAACAGGCTCAACCTCGGCTCCTTTATCTTCGAGGAATCCGAGTACGCGCGACGAAGACTTCGGGAGGAATAAGAGGAGGGAGGAGCGGCCGAGGTATTGTCCTTGAGCCTTAATGATTTGAATAAGGCGATGGAGGTGGTGGCGACACATGATATGGTGGACCCGGAGACCATAAAGGCATTGAGAGAACAGGTCTTGGAAAGCCCTCAGGTGGGAGAGGTGGAGCTGATATATCGGCTTCCAAGAAGAAGGGGAGACCCTACGATGGCCCAGGCCCGAACGACCAATCGGTCTTTTGTAGGGGAGGGCTTAAACAGGGCTCCCAAAGGCGGTACAAGACTATAGATAAGAAGTGCCGCCCGATCCCCGTGCTTGTCACGGAGGATGAGGAAGCCTATTATGAGCGAGAGCGAGAGCGAGGGCTGATAAGGCGTATGCGGGAGCATGCGCAGGCAGGGCCGTGCCGCATCAATGATGAGAATAAAGAGGGACTGATAATTGGCGAGTTTGGCTTTCTTTCACCCCACGAGAGGACCTTGATGGTGGAGACCATGAAGAGGAGACATTGCGCGTATGCGTTTAATGACGACGAGAGTGGGAGGTTGGATGTGGATAAGATCCCGATGATACGAATCCATACCGTCCCACACGAGCCGTGGAATTTAAGGGGCGCGCGATACCTGAATCCAGACGAGGAGAGGAAGGTGGTGGACTATTTGGACGAAAAGATGCGGACGCACGTGGCTGATTACTCTAGTGGACTGTATGCCTTACTGTGGTTTTGTTTCATCAAGCCGAACGTGACGCTACGGTGGGTGTAGGACCTGCAGCATTTGAATGCGGTGACAGTGCGGGACGCGGGAGGATTGTTGAACGTGGATGCCCTGACGGAGTCATGCGCAGGGAGGCCTATAATCTCACTTATAGACCTTTATTCTGGGTACAACCAGTTTCCTGTATACCCGCCTGATAGGTCGGTGATAGCAATGCATACGCCGAGGGGGCTGATCCACATGAATGTAGCCCCTCAGGGGTGGACTAATGCGGTGGCGATGGTGCAAAGGCACATGATTAGGGCCATGCAGACAGTTAGTCCACATATCACCCAACCCTACATTGACGATCTGGCGGTCAAGTGTCCAATGGAGAACGAGGAAGACGAAGTGATGCCGGGAGTGAGGCGGTTCGTCTGGAAGCATATCCAGCCTAATCCAGGATATCGATCAGGTTCTGGGTTTGCTGGAAGAGCACAACTTGACGGGGAGCGCCCCCAAGTTGAAGCACTGTATGAGGGAGGCCACGATCCTGGGCTTTGTCTGTAATGAGAGGGCGCGGAGGCCAGATGTGAAGAAAACGGACAAGATCCTAGAGTGGCCAGTCCCTTTTCAGTCGATAACAGACGTGAGGAGCTTCCTTGGGACCTGTGGGTTTTGGAGGAGTTTCGTGAGGGACTTTGCCACTAAGACGGAGCATTTGAGGAATCTTGTGCGTCGGGATCAGGAATGGGTTTGGGACGAAGACCAGGAAAAGGTTGTGGAAAGGATGAAGGGAGAGTTTAAGAAAGGAGGTTTTGTGCTGGGAGCGCCAAATTATGAGGCCAAAGAGGAAAAACCATTCGTTGTCGAGACAGACGCTGGCCCACTGCCTTAGGAGGGGTCTTGATTCAGGCAGATGCGGATGGGAAGGAGAGGCCGCTAAGGTTTGAAAGTCGTACCCTCAATACGACTAAGAGGAACTACTCTCAGTTTAAGAAAGAGACGCTGGTGGTACTCCATTGCCCGAGGACCTTCCGGAACTATATCTTTGGCAGGAGGCTCATTTTGAGGGTGGACCCTACTTCGCTTGCGTGTTCCCTGAAAATTTATACTCCATCTGACCCAACCACCGCGAGATGGTTGACTTACATTTGGATGTTTAACTTTGAGCTGGAGAGGATTTCAGGGGACAAGAACAGGGTGGATGGGCTGAGTCGTATCAACTGGGACGAATCAGGAGTCAATTGAGGACACCCCACGAGTCGACGGGTTCTTGGATCAGGAGGAGGACGTCCGCCTCCATATAAACGAATAGTCGTTGAGGGTGCCTAGTTGTGTCACTCACCCCATATGGCTAGCGCCAAAGAGGTATGAACGAAAGGAGGAACTGGTCCTTAAGCCCTTCCAAGAGGAAGATCCCTGGGGCGGCAAGGACGTCCTTTGGATGATGGAATTGGCATTGGCAGGCGCACACAGTTTGGCGGAGGAGGTAAAAACGATTGAGGAGGGCCCTACCCAAGTTGAGGAGCACGAGCAGTTGATGGGGGGAATGTATCTCCTCACAAACACACTCCTATGGGGAGACTTCGACCGAAGGGGTTCATTGAACCCAGTTGAAGGCGAAGGACCGGTACCCGAAAGCCAGGACAATGAGTTCGAGGAGGGAGAGATCAAGGAGGCATTAAGGGCAGAGGAGTACGACGGAATTTACCTGGAGTTGGGGCTGCTCTTGTCCTGCGAAATGAGGGATAGAGATGCAAGCGCAAAAGTGCAGAAGATGAGACATCTCCATGTCGTAAGGGATGGCCATCTGTTTATTAAGCGGCAGGTCGGGAATCCTAAGAGGATTGTGAGTGGAAGGAACCAGCAAATTGATATTATTGCAGCCCTACACGATGGTATAGCAGGGGGCCACAGAGGGATCGGGACCACATGTGCCAAGAGAAGTGAACTATACCATTGGGATGGGATGCTAACTATGGTCATAAAGTACTGCCAGTCTTGCGTACCCTGTTAGGAGAGGTCAGCGCAAAGGCCAGGGGTGCCCCTGCACCCAAGGTTGGAGACGGAAGTGGGAGTAGTCGTGCACCTGGACCTGCTATTTATGCCAGTCGGGGAGGGTGGAAATAACTACATCTTCGATGCGCCAGATAATCTTACTGGGTTCGTGGATGGTCGGGCTATTCGCACGAAGACCGGCCCTGTTCTAGCCAGGTGCATCGAAGAGTACTACCTGCGCTACCCTTTTGTCAAAGAATTTGTGATGGACCGGGGGTCGAAATTCACCTGCAATGAGGTGCGGACCTTACTTGCGGGGTATGGCGTGGTAGCAAACTATACTACTGCCGCATACCCCCAGGCGAACGCACCTGTGGAAAGGGGGCATAGTACCATCACAAATCTCTTGGCCATGTGGACTAAGGGGAGGCCTAACCAGTGGTCGAAGTTTCTAAGAGCAGCCTTCTTCGTGGAAAATGTTACGGTGAAAAGGATTACCAAGTACTCGCTGGCCACACTATGGTACGGGAGGCACGCCACCTTTCCCATAGAAAGCTTTATGAAGACATGGAGGCGCCAGGACCTGGAAGTCAACCTGTCGTTCGAAGAGTTGCTCGATGGCCGGGCACGACAAGTAGCGGCAGCTGAGAAAAGGTTACGAGAAGCCTCCAGGGACGTGGAGAGGAGCCGTATGGAAGACAAGATGAGGTGGGACTAGATGGCGTGCGTGAGGAAGGAACCGCTGAAGGTTGGAGATAGGTGTTGTTGTATGACTCCTCCCTGGAAAAGCGATGGTCCAGGAAGCTCGACAAGCGGTGGTTGGGGCCTTATAGGATTGTGCGATTTGGCGAGTTTCGGGCTTACGAAATTGAAGAGTTGGATGGGGCGAGATGGCAGGACTGGGTATCAGGGGCAAGGCTGAAAAGTTTGTGGCCAGGGAATAGGTAAGGGGCCTCGACACCTCTCTAAGGATAGAGTCTTGCCCAGGTATCACGCATTTTCGGCTGATTAGATAGATGGGTGATTGGGATGGATGGGTGTGGAGTGTATGTGGGATTTTCCTAGGCCAATAGGCTTAGTTGCTGACCCCACTGTTCCTCTGGTTGCTGTCTCTCGCCTGTTGTGCAGGTCTGACTTCTTGAAGGCAGTCATACAGACGGGCGGGAGGGACACCCGGCCACGACAGGGGCCCCAGAGGGCAGCGGGGAGAGGCGAGCAGCACGAGCCGACTAGGAGGAAGCCTATGCCTGAGTTCGACGATGATAACATAGAGTTCTTCCTAGATGTGTATCGGGATCATGCGACACAGAGAGGGTGGTCAGTGGCCGAGAGGATTCACCACTTGAGGGGTATAGGGCGGTTTGAGGAGCCTGTCGCCCAGATATGCGAGGAGGTCCTAACTTGGCCAGATGTGGAGGCCAAGACGCAGAGACTGAGGGCTTCGCCCTGAGGACGTGATGGTATGCCCATTCGGTTAGAGGAGGGGAATGCGGAGGAGTTCATTCCCGCATATGAGCACTGCATGTTGAGCCAGGGGATTGCGCAGGAGGAGTGGGTGCAGGCCCTACTTATCTAGACTAGGAGGGCAGAGAGGCCGGTGGCTAGACAGATTCGGGAGAGAGCTCGAGATTGGGAGGACTGCCAGGCCCTGCTCTGGAGGGCGTTCGGATGACTAGGGCGTGAGAGACTGGAGCCTAGGGTCGAGAGGCAAAGGCAAATCAAGAGGCCAAGGGAACCGGCGCCGGGAGAGGCGGGGCTGACCAGAGAGAGGAGGAGGGCCCCAGCACAGCGGGAGGATGAGCCCGCGGGGCCCGCACCGAAAGAGGAGTCGTTCCCTGCTTGTGGCCTCCAGGCAGTTGAGTTTCGGCGGATTACGAGTGAGGAGTTGAGGCCGCCTTCGCCGTCGCCATCAGGGCAGGAGCTGGACATACCAGGGGAGACGCCATTCCGGAGCTTAGCGACTCACCTTGACGTATCTTGGTGGGAGGCCTCACGGTTGGGGGAAGGTTCAACTGATCCGGTGCGCTATGTGCCGTTGGAGGAGCCTTTGGACCTCGAGACGGAGACGGACATGCGAGACCGAGGGGGGCCGCATGATCCTGAGATGGCATCCGAGCGGCCGGACCCGGTACGACCTCAGGTTGAGGAGGTGATCACGGTCGGAGACGATACCCCTGCATGCACCCCAGTCCCAGAGCCAGCGCAGCGGTCCTGGCCAGAGGGGGTTCCTGAGCCAGATAGTGAGGAGGTCTTAGAGCTTCCCCCTGAGACGGCTGCTACGCCTGAGCAGGAGGCGAAGATGGAGGATCAGGGAGCGTGTGAGAGAGCGAGGGTGGAGGTACTCCCTGACTTGCCATCGGCCACGCATGCGACCGAGAGCCAAGTTATCGGGGGACCAACTCTAACAGAGTCATCGTCAGCATTGCCATGCACAAGCGAGAGGATGGGGCCCGAGGCGTCCACTCTGGAAGGCTAGGGGCCGCGTGTGAGAGGAGCCTCAAGAGAAACCCGTGAAGAAAAGTCCGCCAGAGTGCGAGTCCGTTTGGATGAAATACACGCGAGGCAGGCTGAGATGGAGGCGTCAGGGATAGAGCCGACGCCGCCGGTCGATCCCAAAACGAGCGAGGAGCGGATCGACGAGTTGTGGGCGAGGTACGAGAGCCAGCGGGACGCAGCCCGCCAGAGGTCACGAGAGACGGGACAGGCGGACGAGGAGGCGGGTGAGCTGAGGGAGATGGGGGACTTGGTGTTCTCCGCGACTAGGATAGCGATTGAGCGTGTGGATAGGAGGATATGCGAGATGACAGTTACATCCTTCTAGTGGTATAGTCTACTCGGCGATGAGCTCAGGGTGAGAGAGTTGGAGATGGGGCACCTAACTACCCAGCTTGTTGAAGAGAGAGTGAGGAGCCAGGCCAGAGAGGTTGAGTGGGAGAGACGGTTTGGGGAGATGGCGGCCATTGTGGATAGGCTTACGGCAACCTAGGAGGCTAGTCAGACAGGACGAGCCGGTGTCGATGGCCAGGGCCGAGGAAAGCAAGCTTCGCTGAGTCGGGGAGCAGCGGCGGAAGCCCCTCGACAGGCCGAGCCAATGGGGGAGGTGCCGCCAGATACGGCCAAGGAGGAGGGTGGCACCCTGGAGTCCCTTATGGCTATGTCCACGGAGAGAAGAGGCTCGCGTTTGCGTGAGCTGGCGGCAGCCATGGGGATAGGTACACCGCAGGAGAGGCCTCAGAGGCTTGACACTCCAGACTATGCCCCAGGGCTGGGAGAGTTGGGGGCGGAGTTGGGCTCTTGGGCCATAGGGACGGACTCAGGAGGACCTGACTCAGGGCGGCAGCAGCAACAGGAGGTCATGAGTGAGCCAGCCGCCGTGGCGGGCTCTCAGCTGTCTGGATTATGTGGGGATGTGGTTGCAACGGAAAGGCCTCAGGAGGAGGGATCCCGAGAGACGGACACGCCAGACCACGAGCCAGTGAGTACTGCCGTGCGAGGGGGTGAGGGCGCTTAGACTATGGAGCCCCGACCTCAGGGCCATGCGGGATTACCCTTCTGTCATGAGGTGTCCACCGAGGCTATGGGGACGCCTTCAGCGTCGAGTTCCCGGGGGAGAAAGAAGAAGACTGCCAGGTGGCACAACACCTCCTGCTTTTGGTGCACGAAGGAAGGGCATATAGCCGTGGACTGCCCAGAGCTCCTCGAGGATAAGGCCGAGGGGCGGGTTGCAGAGGTCGACGGCAAGTTCTATAAGAGACATGGCAGGATAGTGGAGCGAGCTCCAGATGGGGGCAGGGCCCAGTTATACTGGCAAAACTAGGAGGAGTTGCGTGAGTAGGGGATGATCTGTCTATGTGTCAGTAGGGCCAGAGTATTTTGCACACAGAGGGCGGGTTGGAAGTGTATATATGCTGAGTTGGCTGAGGGGGCCCTAGATGTGTGCATACTTTAGGGGTGGTAGGATGAGTCCCTGCCTGGTTATGCATACATAGTTGATCGTGCCTTCCTTCAACTTTTGTTCATGGGCTACGGCTTAGGAAATGGGGTGCAGCCATAGGACACATGAGGCCATTTAGTCTATGTTTGGTTTTGTGATTTAGAGATTATTTGGGTTTTGAGTGAGACTTGGGTATGAGTTTCCCCAGGAGAGTGAGACAGGGGTTGGGCACCCATTGGATTTTAGATAGATGGTGTGTCCCCAAGTTTATTTCGCGTGTGTACAGTGGGGTCGTGAGTCATGCCCAGAAGGGCAAAGTTTTGAGTTGAGAGTCTATATTTGAGTCTTGAGGGAGACATTCTACTCCCTGAGTGTACTATGAGTTGAGGTCCTATGGGACTTGTCTTGTGACGATCATTATAACTCTCATCTGTGTGGATTTATCTTGATGTGTGTTTGGCTTTGTGTGGGGGGTGTAGAAGATACACCCCGTGAATAGTAAAGTTGTTTACTCTCTAGTATACTCGTGTGGCCTGCTTGCGAGCAGACGAGAGAGCAGAGTATAAGAAGGGGGAGCGCAGCCTGTTTGTAAAAGATTGTGAGAATCCTACGGGATTGAGGGATCCAGAAATTTAATTCCTTGCCACACCAAACATTGTTGTCTAAGTTGTACAAGGACCTAGAACATGGTCCTCCAGTTTGAATGTTTAATGATTAAGACCACCGTCATGGTTCTGGAGGGTGGGAATTGTGTTGTTGTTGGGGCCCCTTCATGGTTTTAGATGAGGTCGTGTGAAAGTTTATCCCAAACAGAGAGGGGGTGACTATGAGATCTTTTGTGAGAGGCACCTTTACTAAGTAAGGGTGGGTAAGGAGTGAATGGCATGGAAAACCTTGTTTGTGTTGATAAAGTCTGACGAGAGGGAACCATGTTTGCTTGAAATGTTCGAGAAGGGCGAGAGATATCACAGGATGAGCGACTGCTAGCTCTGATCAAGTAGGAGCCGTGGCCTTGTGAACCTAGCGGGGGATTTGTTTGTGGCTGTGCGAAGGATGGCGCGCCTATTATGGACGGACCGGTCAATGCCTTCAGACCCCTGCGTAGTCCCGCATCGGGCCTGTGAATTGTTTTGTGACGCCCCATCTAACCGCTTGTGCTAATTCTGAGACATATTTAAAAGGAATACCAAGCTAACGGTAAAGCTTAGTGCCACTTGGGCGTAACCCCGGGTGGGTGGCTGCTAGCCAGCGCAACCTGGCTGCGGGCTTGCGGGGTAAGAGTTTAAGGGGAGTTGCTCGCCCCAGGGAAGTTACCCCAAGGGATGAGAGTCGTGTCTTTTGGAAGTCCTGATTGACTGATTATCAGGAAAAATATATGTCGCTGTATAACCTACGAGAGGATACCACCGCTAAGGTAACAATGCGGTGGGCCTTAGACCTGGTCCGATCAACCGGGCTATGATGGGCCGAAATGGAGACCTGACGTTTCTGTACTAGACTGCAGAAAAGGCTGAGAGAGGATGTAAGCATATATGTGTTTGTTTCGTTTGATTGAAAGAATCTGCTGAAGGAAGGCGAGAACGCCTTCATAGGTCCCATTCAAGGCCCGCGTCCCTAGTTATGGGTCTGCCTGCGAGAAAGAGACTAACTGGGACACCCAACGAGAGGTCGACGATTGTCTAGGACAAAGGGGTAGAGGGTGGTTTAAGGGGCTTTGGAACTTATGCTGTAGTATTGATGTGTAATACACCGGCGTCCTAATGCCACGACAATGGGGACCTAGGTTGAAACCCTGACAGCATATAGTTGTGTTGGCATTGTTTGGTCGAGGCCTCAACCTTGAGTCGGTTGGCTAATCGGATTGGTTATAATCTCATCAGCATTTGAAGTGTGAATGGACTTATAGCTTTTTTATTTGGCGAAGCGACGGGGACGTCACTTAATATGGTCCGGTAAGCTGCCGGCGCGAATACCCTTACAAGGGTATTCGCCCTGGTTTTTGCAGATGATAGGAACAATAAGTTTGGCCAGAATAAGTCGTGCGAGATACGACTACGTCAAAAGGCCGCTTTGACCTGGTAGCAAATTTTAGGTGCGCGTGTGATTTTTCTGATTGGATGAGCGACCGGTGTAGCCGGTCGGCCCGGACCGTATTACGGACTGATTAAGGATTAAAAGGCCGTTTTGTTGGCTCGCACGACCAACGTGAGGAGCCGGGACACAGGATGACGCGCAAGGGGGCCACGACACGGTCCAAGGGAAGGCCTAGGCATCGCGTGGTATCACTTCATGCTGAAATCTGCGCCTAGTTGTTCCAGGCTTGGGCTTAGCCCTATAGGTTACGACACTCGATTACTGCCACTAAGGTACGGGGATCGAGGCCAGCGGGCATCAGCGCAGGAGCAGCGGAGCGCCGGAGAAACTGAGGGGTTGAGGGTCCCGCGGGACTATCCCCCTTAGTTTTGTTGGGGGAGTCCAATCGCGGCCCCGTTTTGCAGGGCCAGAGAACTGTTAGCAGGCCCTGTCGTTCGTTCCCGATAGTACCCCCGTGATATGTTGGGTCGTGTTTTGATTTATTTTTAATTTTTATTTTTTTATTTGTAGATTACCAGGGCTTCGACACTGGTTTCGAACCTGGGCCGTACACCCATGGGTACGGCGGAGTGCACGCACCCGTGAAACACAGGCCGAGGGGCCTTTAGTACTCCCGTGAGGTGTTACTTCGGCGACAGCCCCACGGGATATCCGTTAAGATAGGGACGATACCAGGAAGATCTACCTTGAATTCAGCATAAAGGTTTAGGAGGAGCCCGGACGCAGGTTGCGCCGGGTGCGTACGAATTAAGGAGGAAGGGACGAGTAGGGGAGGTCGGGCGGTCCTTGGTGCAGCTACGAGGCATCGCCCTGGCCGGAGTCCTTCGGGGCATTCGATGAAATTGGAGTGATACAGGGAAGGTTAGCCTGACTGCTCCTAAAGGCTGAAATGCATAATCCCCAAAGGGAGGTCGGGTTCACGCGGGAATGGTAGGGTCGGAGGGGTATTGCTGTAGGACAGATCTTTAGGGGGAGATCTGTTACATCGGGAAAGATCCGCATGGCCCCTACATGAGGGTGACATAGGGAAAAGGTCCGGGAACGAACCCGGACGCGAACCGGGTTAGGGGCGTGCCAAAGGCGAAAGAGGAGGAGGAATTTGCCCGATCGCTGCGCAGGAATGAGGCGCAGCAAACCGGAATGAACCCGGATGCAGGTTGCGCCGGGTACGAATGAGAAAGAGGGGGGTGAAGGGCGGAATGGGTTGCCCCGCGACCAGACTCGCCCGGCCGCCGCCTGTTGCAGTAGCAACCGGGGGCCAGCTGGTGCAAAGTCCTTCGGGGTGGGGAAGACTGGCTGGCCAGCGTGTGCAGGGGCATACATAAACGGCGGGATGACCCGGACCCCGCGACTGTCACTCTGTTCACGTAGCTCGACTCTCGTCGCGACACGCTCTGGGCGCACTGACGGGGAGTAGCGTTGGTAAGAGGGAGAGCGGAGCGAAGTAGGTAACAGCGAAGGCTAGGCGATGGGTTGCGAAGAGAGTGGGCGAGCTGCGGGCGATGAGACAGGCGACGAGAGGGCGACGGAGGTAATTGGAACGAATGAACGAACCGGGACGGGGGACCGGGCCGGGTGCATTCGGAGCCGGAGGTGATGAAGAAGATGGGGTGGGCACGAATGTGGCACGAGGAGTAAAGCACTCCTCGACCGTTTCTAAAAGAACCCGAGCAAGGAAGGGGGCAAAGTGGAGGTTCCGACGGCGGACGACGCCGAATCTGAGGCCAGACCAGGCAAAACGTTAGGAGAAAAGGGGCGAGAAAGAAAATAGCTTGCGCGGGGCTATGAGGATGGTCGTTGGAATAAGGCGGGAAGACGTGGATCTCACCCGTTCCTCGATAGGAACAGGCCGGGGGAGCTCTTAAAACGAGGTTTTGGGAGTAGGCGACCGAGGTGTAGGAGTTAAAATAAATGGAAAAGGTTGGTAGCGTAGAAGGTTAGTAAAGATCGAGTAAGTCGATAGTAGGGTTGCACGAGAGCAGCACGTCGAAGGGCGGAGGCGAGTAGGAGGAACACACGGCGTGCTTGATTCTCGGCGGAACCGAGTTGCGGCGAACTTAGTAGGGAAGTCGAAGCGAGGAGGGAGTTAGTGGATTCACCTGTGGCACGGTAACGATAAGATGTTGCGCTGTACGAGGTGTCTTCCCGATTCAGGTGAGTAGTGAGACGGGGCGTTGGACCGATTGCGAAGGTGGGGACGTACTTACTGAGCCGTCTGTGTTCGTCTCGGTGGTCAACGCGGCAAGGAGGTGAAGCGAGGTGGGGGTGCTGGCCGACAAAGACTTGGAGTGTGTGTCGGTGCACCTAGCCGTTCTTGCGGCCCGGGTTCATTCGACCTTGTGAACCCGCTGAAACGAGCAGCGGGAGGATAGCAGGGTGGATCGGGCGCTTACCTGGCCAGGCTACAACCGTGGTCACGACACTGTATAGTATGTAGTAAAGCTGTAGCGCACTAGTAAATCGTGCGCAGTCAGGGAACGACCGATGACGGACTATTTCTCAGTTTGGTGACATTGGAGCATGGTTGTCTTAGTTGGCGGGGAGATCTGGCTGATTGATCCTGACTGGTG